GATACTGTTAATAAAAATAACCTCCATAATAAACAAAAACTTGCAGATTGATTTTTTTATTTTTTTTTTTTTACTGGGTTTCTGTGTTTCATAACATTATTCACTGGAAAAGATAATGTATGAATTTATAAAGAATGAAGAACGTAGGAATTTACAAGAGTAATGCCCTTTAATCCTCCACGTTGCAAAGCATTATCATAGCACGTTTTTAAAATTCAACAGTAATGTACAAAAATACTGGAAGCCTGTTCTTTACGGCTGATCCAAGTCATGCAGAGCGCAAGTATTGATGGCAAAGATATGTTTGCTTTTCAGTGACATGAGATATAAGAGGATTACATGGCTCATGAATATGTGGCTGCTTCTACCCTCTGATTCATCACTTTTTTTTATTTTATCAGAAATCCTCATCTCCATCCACAACGGGCTGCCACACAACCACAGGCTGATGTTCTCAGATTTCATTTCAGTTAAGAAAAGAAAAAGTTAAATGTGTGTTTGTCCGATCAGCTATGTACCACAGGCGCACTGATGCTAACCCTCACCAATAGGCTCGCTCACAAACAGCCGCATCTCTGAGGGAACGGGCAACTGGTTGTGTTTGTCATACACAATGCTGTGTGTATTTACTGAAACAACAGCAGGGAGGGGTGATGATTAGCGAATACCACCTTGTCAAAAACATCACTAAATCATAGTGCTGGGTGAAGCTATTTTTACTAGACAAAAGACACAATAAAAAACAAACTGATACGTTTATTCTATCACTGAAATCTCCCAAAGGGCAGCCAATTCACCACGCCACCTGATTATGTGTCAGAACATCAGGGCTTTGTAGTAGTCGGTGTTAATTGTTGGTGCCCACACAAAAAGCTGTCTACATGATGAGTAGTCCATTTTTCCTTGTCAGAGTCTAAATATATAGTAGAGTTTTCCTTCACCGTCCTGCCTCTAAAACAGGTTGGCAGGTAGAACAATCGGGGTCAGCTTGCATCGGGGCCGGGACTTCGTTTGCCATTGATTTATATCTCAAACAACCTCTCCTGGTGCTTCCACTGCTAAAGGTGAGACGCACAGCGAGTGTTTGTGACAGAGATGGACTAGGCACGGTGGCAAGAGTGAGAGGGATGATGCGGGTTTAAAAAATGCATCACCATTAAATCAAAGAGTAACCTTGAACGAGATCAGGCCAGCGCCGGCTCGGTGACACGCTCTGCCCTCAGCATTAGGTACCACAGAACATGCCAAACAGCGGGGAGAAAGAGCTGCAAGGCTCTGATATAGGTTGAACCAGTAGTGCTGGGTAGCAGACAGCCCAGCTCCTTGCAGACCAAGGACACTCACACTAACATTCTGTCCAGGTTATAGCTCAACATGTTACAGACAAATGTAGAAAGTCTGAGGGTCAGAGATGTCCTCGCAAACTGCCTCTGCAAAGAGGACAAAAATAAAAATTTGTGCTAATCACTTGGACTTAGTGTTAATAAAAATGTGTGCACAGATGGTGCAGAGAGGTCACAACCACTGGTTCAGCATATGTGATCCCACTACCTGATGTTTGACTAAAACCGACTCTGACCTTTTCTTTTGGTCTCCCTTGTATTTTCACATATATCTCATGAAAATAATGAAAAGGGTTGAGGGTACACACTTTCATAATGAGAAAATACCAAATGTGCATATTACTTTTATTATTCTTGTTTGCTGCAAGACAAACTCCCCAAGCTATTACATGGGTTTTAGCACAGCAGACTAACAAAGCATTAGAGTGCAGCTTAGGGGAGGAAAAATTAAACCCCAGCGGTCCTTCAGGTACAAGAGCTGAACTTTACATATTACTTGTTCATGCAGATTACTAAATCAAGGAACTACACTTATTTACACTTTTTAATAAGGCACTCAAGCCGCAGAGGAAATTGTTTATTGGGACGACTGGAGGAAAGGCTGCAGTGCCACCAAAGAGCCCATATTTTTAGGAAATAATGTCTTCTGGCCTGTTATGGTATACATAAAATAGTTACCGGTGCATGTGGACTTGTGAGGCAGTGTGCAGGCATATATTAAAAAAATACTCTGTAAGAAACATCCCCTTTAGACTGCTAGGTGGAAACTATCTGAGGTATATAACTTATTTTTAAATCTAACTTCCTCCACTTCTCCCACATTCATTGAGACATGTCATCCATCTATCTTGGCCTCCGGCTGCAGTAGTTCCTCGACCATGAGTGGCTGCTGCAGCAGGGCTGTATTTCAGCATGTTGAAGTGCATGGAGAATTCCCATGAAGGGTAAGGGATTATGGATTTTGGCCTCTAAGCTGCCTGGATGCCCAGTGCGGATGTCTCTGAGCATAGTAATCTTCAAACACCACGCCGAGTGATGAGCGGGCACTGCGGAGTTCAACTCAGGATCTAAATGCGTTCCAGCGAGCTACTGATGAGTGAGTAAGAGGGAGAGATAGAAAATGAAAGAGAAAAAACGAAAACACTATTGAGAGCAGAACTCAGTGCCTCCTTCAAGCAGGAGACACTCTTGATCCTGTGACCTGTTTTGAGCTATCGTCTGTGTCGAAAACTCGCACCGAGCAAGGGATCACATTGGACTGTTATGAATGAAAATGTCATGGTTCCCCATCACCACACATAACTGCGGATGGAAAAAGTCAATTGAGCAATTTTTGGATGGGTCGGGCTCTCATGTGGGATAGTATGTTTCTGATGAGCAGTCAGCGGCCACATCAACCTGCCCAGTGTTTGTTGTGTCTTGTTGCTTTTCTTTTCTTCTCTCTCTCCTCTATCCGCTCACCCCAACCGGTTGAGGCAGAAGGCCGCCCACCAAGACCCGGGGTCTGTCTGAGGTTTCTTTCATACTGCTCAAGGGGGATTTATTGGGTTTTTCCTCTTTAATAATAACAATTGTAGTAAAGTGTCCTGAGATGACTTTTGTTGTGATTTGGTGCTATACAAATACAATTGAACTGAATTGAATTGAAACAGCAAACCTTCGTAATTAGCGCTCACTCAAGCCTGGTTTAGCCCGTCTCCCAGAAAATGGGACTCGGTGCGTCTCCCTTCTGGCATGGTGATGATGATAGGAAAATATCAATATTCTTTTTGTGCTCATAAATGCACAAAAAAAAAAAATCTCACAAATAAAGTGCAGCACATAAGCTGGAACAAGGAAACACTGGAGGAAATCAATAGCGATGCACATCCCTGATGCATATCCGAAAAGAATTTCTCTGACTCTGTCCTGATTGAATTAAACCTCCAAAACAGTCTCATTTAATTTACAGCCCTGATTGTTTTCCTGTCTTGTTTAAGTGACCTCAAATTGCTTTGATACAATCATGGACCTGAAGATAAAGTGAGTAAGCGGAGGTGGAGGATCAGATGGGACGAAGGACACTATTCACTATGGAGATTACATCCTTTCCTTAAGAGATGCATCTATCTTCTCAGATGATGTCAGAGGTCAGGGCTTGGAAGGGCGCCGAGGCACACAGAAGCTCTTCCACTGGGAAATCTGAAGGCATCACTACTACTTCTAATACTAAAGAAGCAACATAACCCAGCATGCCTATTTCCTGCTTGCATCAAGGATGAACATGAGCCATATTGTGCAGAAAGTGACCTCAGGGCGTTCAAGGATCAAAGGGTTCAACAGTCCCTTGGTGATAATCAAATTATCTAGCTCTACATAAAACACTTTCCAAATATAAAACCATAATCTACTGTTTAAATGTATCACACTGTGCTTGATTTGTAAAACTGTTGGAGCTGTATGCCGCTCACACACTCCTTGTGTCTGTGCAGCACAAATACTGTCCAAGGCTACAAACAGGTACATCAATTTGAAGCATGACAAGAAATTCCCTTTAGGTGACAGCAAAATGTACATGCTATTAGATCAGCTGCAGTATAGTGTGATGAAATAAATTGAAGCCAACAGATGAAAGCTCGGGGCCCCAAACAGGGGAGAGGAGGCTATTAAGGTGCTCTGCCCTCCCTCTGTGTTACACTGCCATCCTTTGGACAAATACAGAACTAAATGTTGGTAAATGTGTGATGTACACAGTGATGGCAGTCTGCATAAGAGAAGACAGACCTTTAATACAATTTGATCTAATAAATAATAGTGAAAAGATGCCAATGACAGCTGTCTGAAGCCACCTTGTTTTGTCCATCAAAGCCTAAAACCCCACAGATTTGCAGTTTACAGTGACATAAGCCAGAGAAAAACAAGTTCTGACACTGAGGAAACTGCAAACACAGGATGTTTGTTTACACAGTTTTTCTTAAAAACTGACTGAAATTATAAATGGACTGTCAAAATAGTTGCCTTTTTTCTGTCAATCAACTAATGATTAATCACCTCGTCATTTGAGCTCTAATATAAATTTCTTCTAAACAAAAATCACTTATTATGATGTGACAAACTTACAGAAGTAATTTTCTAAAATGTGCATTGATTCAATTAGTAAAAATTTTGTTCTTTTTCTATGAACTGTATCATTGTCTTCTAGTCTATAACCATCAAATCACTTTGCCAATGGTGGAAAAGTACATTTAGTACTTTGCCTCAGTATTTCCATTTGCTTAATACAACACTTCTATTCCTCTACATAACAAAGGCAAATGTGCTTTTTACTCTAATACATTAATTTTACAACTTTAGTTTCTTTGGGGATTCAGACTAATATAAAATATAACAAATAAACTATAATGTATTATTATAGGTTATGATAAGACCAGTGAAATGTGCAAGCTACCCAATTTATAAAGCCATTAAAACCATCTCCGCCTTTAATAGCAGCAACACTGAAGTCATACACACTAATGCATCAGTAATTATCATCAATAACAATGAATATTAGTCTGAAATGGGTCACTTTGCAGAATGAGTACACTGTAGTATTGCATGTCTTTCACTAATGCAGCCTGCGGTTTGCACAGCAGCAGACACGCACTGCTCCAATGCGCGGACACAGTTAGTGCCTATAGACAGCTGTGTTTGCAAAAGACAACCATTTGAATGTAACGCCCGCTGAATGCCAGGCCAATTATCTTCTGAGAAGGGGGGGGGCGCACCCTGAGTGACGTCGGCGATGTTTGTGCAGGCGGATAATGCTCCGAAGTGAATAAGCAGCTGTGTGTACACACGGACAGGACAACAGGGACCGGACGCAGCCCGTTGTGTGCCGAGAGGAGGAACGTAAAGAGTCGTTTCTACATGTTACATGGCGAGGTACGTGTGTATCATGATGTGACTTTTGTAATATTCGTGTGACATTTAAAAGGGCGGTTGAGGGAAACGCAGCTGGGTTTACGCACATTGCAGTGAGTCAAGCGTTGTGTTTATTCTGGTGCGGCGCAGATGCCTATTGCAGTCATATTCAAACGGCTTACCGTAAATTATTAATTCAGAATAACTGCGTAAATGTCGCAATGCCTTTCTGCGTTATTATTAAGGGGCTGTGGGGCAACACATCAAAGCCAATCGCATAAAAATGAGTCGTGGTATGCGAATTGTATGTAAAATGTAGTGATTCTATTGATTTCATCTGGTGCTGATGGACAGCAGGTGGCGCACTTCTGGAAAGCAGGTGATGTGTTGTCCTGAATATACATGTCCAGTATATATGTACGCATACAGGTATTTTGCGTGCTGCAGTCTTGTCAGAGCTTCCTTATGAAAAAGGTTTTGACCTCAGCGGGACTTCCTGGTAAAATAAAGATTCAGTTAAAAAAGAAATTATTAAAATTTGCATTCCATAAACGTCCTCTGGTCAGCGATAAGGAAGTATTCAGACCCTTTTAATAAAAATAGCCCACTAACACAAAGCGTTTTCAAACTCTTACCTAGGTAAAAACGCCGATTACAACTCCAAATGAGAAAAAGTTGGGATTGTTTGTAAAATCAAAGTTAAAACTGAAAATAGTGATTTATAAGTCATCCGTGTCCTGTATTGGACTGAAAACAATACAGCAGCACATTATTTGATGTGATACTTCACAATAAACACATAATAAACACAAGCCGGAGTCTGTCGTGGTCTGGGGTCATGCCAGTGCCCTTGGCAAAGGTCACTTACACTTCTGTGATGGTTCCATTAATGCTGAACAATACAGAGAGATGTTGGAGCAACACATGCTGCCTTCAAGACAACATCTTTTCCAGGGACACCTGTGCATATTTCAGCAAGACAGTGCAAAACCTCATCCTGCACACGTTACCAAGTCTGTGGAGGAAAAGGTGTGTGTGCTGGACTGGCCTGCCTGCAGTCCCAACCCGTCCTCAGTAGAGAATGTGTGGTGCATTTTGAAACGTAGATTGAGTCAACGAAGACCCAGGACTGTTGGAAGAATGGGACAAAATGACACCTGAGACACTGAATCACTTGGTGTCCTCAGTCACTAAACGTCTTTTAAGTGTTGTGAAGAGGAACAGCAGCATCACTCCGTGGTAAATGCTTTACTGTCCCATCTTCTTTTGGAAAGTGTTGCAGCATCAGGATTGAAGTTTGTGTTTATTGTGAACAAACTTTCTCTCATTTGGGGTCGTCTCTGCAGAAACATGGTCTAGTGACCAATGTTAATACTGATACATTGCATTTACTGCTGTATCCTGTCAATGTGGAGCTTATTTTAAAGCTATTCTACCTAATTTCTTTTCAGCCGCTGGGGGGTCCAGTGAGACTCAAAGCAAACTTGCACCATAACAACTCCTTTATGCTCTATGCCTATCCTGTCATGTCCTGTTTCCCGAAGCTACTACATGAACTACAGATGCCTGGTTACCACAAACTGTACAAAAGGCAGCCTCCAGTCCAAAGCTGGCATTAGCTGACTAACAAGTAAATCTGTCAGTCCAGTAGAACACTCAGGTTACCACTAATGCAACACAATGTACAATATCTGCCTCTGAAATGCAGTGCAGTACAAGTGTAAAGTAACTAACAGCAAATAAAATAATCAGTTGCAGCCCTAATGTAATGCACATTTGCACACAAAGAAGATGTTTAGCAGCATGTTTTTCAAAGCCTGGTAACTTTTTTGCATAAAATGTGGGAAAATTCTAAGTGTTTTGACTGTCCACAAGTTCCCCTATTCTATGTTAGTAAGTACAACACGTGTGTTCACAGGTTATCCTGAAAGATGGAAGGAGGAAATTTGTGAGTATACCTCTGTAATCCCACATTCTCAATGAGTTCTTCTAGAATGTATACAGTTCATTCTAGGAGAGCAGCAATCACAACATCGGTCCAACCTCCGTGTCATTGCAGTGGCTGCTCCAGAGATTATGTTGACCGCTTCATCCAAAGCCAAGACTCATCTGTGGTTAACAAGTTCCAGAAGAAGTACTGGAAAACCAAACAGACACTCATCAAAGTCACTGGGAAAAAAGAGGATGAGCATGTGGTGGCGTCAGACGCAGATCTGGATGCCAAATTGGAGGTAGGGAGGGATATGAAACTGTTCATGCTTTACTTTTAGAGCATTTTGTGATGCAGGAACAGCCCTGCTTGCTTCCCCTAGACCAGAAACATTAAGAAACACCACAGTATTTTCCCTCAGGTAGACACTGCAGTGACTAAAATGGCTTCTTGATTCACACAATGCCACTATATGCTTGAGGCTTAAAAGGCTGCCTCTCTTGCCCCCATCATCTACACCTCAATTTCACGAGGGAGGTGAATTTAAGAGATGAAATCAATCCTTCATAAAAACTGGTGTAGCCAACCTTAAATTAGAACAGGACCTCAGTAAGCACTGTGATAAACCATTCAAAACTGGATATCTACATACTAAAGTCAATAATACAGTATCAAAGACTAGATTCCTGTGGTTTGTCTTCTGGAAAACAGTCAGGCAGTGTACTACACAGTAATTGCACTTCACTGAGTGACTCCCACAGTGATGAGGCATTTCTTTGAGTCTGGTGTTTATGCTGATTTTCCTCTGCTCTACAGGTCTTTCATTCCATCCAGAGAACATGTATGGAGCTGCTGAAGGTCATCGAGCAGTATCAGAGGAGGATCTACCGTATGTTCAAATAAACAGCACTTTAATTAATTAAGGAAAGTATGAACTGTTGACAGAATGGGTTTACATCAAAGTTCATATTCCAGAAACACTCCATTAAATGCTTAACTGAAGAGCCGTAGCATGTAAACATTATAGCTCATTTACAAAAGCCATAACGGACTAAAACATGACTATCCATCCACCGGTTTTTCACTGGTGTGTTCCATGATGGCAGCAGCCCAGACTTATTTCTCACTAGCTACATCCTCCAGCCCATCCAGAGGGACCCTGAAGCATACCCAGGACAAGTAATCTCTCCAGTATGTTCTGGGCCACAAACCATTTAAACATCCCTCGATTGCCTCCACAGGGAGGCCTATGGGTCGTATCAGATGCCTGATGTGATTCTGGCTCTTTCCAACACAAAGGGGCAACAGGTCCAAGCCTCAGGTCATCACCTTGTCCTTCAGGCTGAACTGAGAAAGACTGCACAGGAACTAATTCCAGGCTCACATTCCCCGTTTCCCTTCAGCGTACCAGAGAAACTGGAGCTCTTGCAGCTTCCCACATCACCTGATCCTACTCACCACTAAGTGGTGATCAGAAGACCTCTCCGCTGCCCTTTTTACCAGATCTGATGATACAACTATAAAGTTCATCACTGATCTTTAACCTGCAGAGCTGTAGTACTAGTCACAAGTATGAACTACCAGCTGCTTCAGTGTAGTGATTGGTATGGATGGACATAGCAATAGCCAAATAATTTTAAGTGTCTTTGTGCTGCACCCAACACTCTGGGCAGTGTCAGCAAAAGGAGTCCTCCAGCAGAAGCGGAAATCACTGATTCAAATCACTGTCCAGTTCATTTACATTTTTTCCCTGTAATGGTTTCTTTTGGGGGGGTTAACCAGTTTGAGGTTCTAAGGGCAGAGGCTGTTGTGTGCTGTACATGTTATAAACCACCCTGAAGTAAGTGTGTTATATGTGATACTGAGCTAAGTGACTTCAGGTCAGCTGAAAGGTTTGTAGTCACTGTAATTCATTCACTTTCTCCTAAGCTAAGCAGTCCCCTCACCTAGCGAGACTCTGCCAGCAGCTCTCGTGCCCCCCGAAGCAGCTCTCTGTTATTCAGAACCCCCCAAACATAAGGTAGCAGTTCTTAGAGGGAAATAATGAATGTCATATATTTATTTTATCCTTATACTAGAATTACCGCCTCACAGTTTTATGCCTCTGCCAACCAGTCAAGGTGTAGGTGAGTAGGTTACAAGAATCCAGACTCATATAGTTTAAGTAGTGAAGAATGTGAAGGAGTTTAAAAGACAGAGCTTTTTTGTTTCACAAAGTGGAAGTTATCACTATGACATAAGAATTTACTGAATAATTTCCCGTGAGAAACATGCTGTCCTCACCAAGTCACATCATACTTGAATCCAAGTGGATATTTGTACCAAATTAAATGTACACGCATTCCAGTTTACCAAATTTGAATAGTTTCATTTTGCCTGAGATTAAAATAGTAAATCAAGTTTTACAAGTTTGACCAATACTCTTTACTGTGTAGTTATTTCCCAAGAGGAGAATGAGCTGGGTCGTTTCCTGCGCTCCCAGGGCTCTCAGGACAAAACCAGGGCTGGAAAGATCATGCAGGCGACAGGGAAAGCTCTCTGCTTCTCCTCCCAGCAAAGGTAGGCATCATCACTGTGCTGCACGCCACATACATCTAGAGCATTGACACGAACGTTACAAGGTAACTAACCAAAGACTGCCTTCCATCCCCAACTGTAACTGCAGACAGAGGTAATTTTGACAGATAATTAAAATAAGATTCTAATCAACAGAGTTACATTCACTCATTAAAACACATTCAACAAATTAGGATTGAATTTCTTTTATATCCAAATCTGTGTCACAATTAATTCACTAGAAAACAGTCAGATTTCTAATAATGCATTATGGTAACTGTGGTACCATTAAAATAATACCAATAGAAAACAATGGAATGGAATTTTCTTTGTGCCTTCAAATAAATCAGGCAACTGTATTATGTAGAATAAAGACCAAAAGGGGCTGTAATGTCAGAGCAATCTAGTCAAAAACTGTCAACCTCGCCACCTGCAGCATCTCAATAGTGACCTGAACACCACATCCAACAGACTAGCTCTGAAGAACCCCCTGTGCCGTTTGTACCAAGAGGTCGAAACATTTCGCTATCGAGCCATCTCAGACACGTGGCTGACAGTGAACCGAATGGAGCAGATCAGGACTGAATACCGTGGAGCACTGCTGTGGATGAAGGATGTTTCTCAGGAGCTGGATCCAGACACAGATAAACAGATGGAGAAATTCCGCAAGGTTTGTCAATCACACAGTCCTGCAGGTCAGAACCAGTGTCAATCAAAAGCTTTTCCTGTTGTGACAAGTAAAAATGTTTGCAGTGGAAAAAAAAAGGTCTCTGTACTATATTAGTGATTGTAAGTCACAGTCCACTGTGTGTACAATATAAAACATTTTCAAATCAATGTATGGAGGTGTTTTGCTGGTCAGAGCTACATGAAAACAGCAATAATACCAAAAACTGTATGTGAGAGAAGGGTAAAATATGCTGCAATTTCAAGCTTTTTATGGAGGGAAATTATTAGTGGCGTTACAATCCTTCAGTGTGGAAAAAAAGAGAAATATTTACAGAGGAGGAAGTGAAGGTGCCAGAAAATGGTATAAATAACTTAAAGGATGATCCAATTAACAAAAAAAAAGGCAATTCATTCATTGTCACATGATTACCACATTGACAGCCCTAATTTGCTAAAACCTCAAACAGCATTATGCAAGAAAAAAATACCTTCAAAGTGCCACTAGAGGTCACAATACACCACCAGATAAGTCATCCATTGGGTTAAACTAGAATGCTACAGGAACCCAGCATGCTTTTTCTGCTTTTATTTTAGTGACTTAGACTTGTTCAAGCAGACATCAACTCAGTGTTTGTGGTTTCACAGTTTAAACCAGTAGGAGACATAATACTGGCTGCTGATCTTCAGTTGGTACATTTGCCTATTATACATCAGGTTCAGGCCCAGGTGCGCACTACCAAAACAAGCTTTGACAAACTCAAGAATGATGTCTGCCAAAAAGTGGACCTGCTGGGAGCCAGCCGCTGCAACCTCCTGTCTCACATTTTGACCACATACCAGGTATATCTCAGTTGCTTGCATACGCTTCACTGATCTTAAACAGGGCGTTTTCAATGGCTCTACCACATGTGGTTAGGTCAGGAAGGAAGACAGACATGAGAACAAAGACACTGCATGGAGGTTCAACATTCACACCAAACAACGAGACACATTCACTAGACCTTCAGTCATTTTCACAATTCTTTTATCACAAGATAAATACATGGCCTCTTCCTGTTCAACTTTGTTTCAGACGACACTTTTGCACTTCTGGGAGAAGACATCCCACACTATGGCGGCCATTCATGAGAGCTTTAAGGGCTGTCAGCATTACGAGCTCTCCACACTTAAGGTCAGGGAGCATTTTGACCTCTACAGCACTGTCAGTCGATTTTAATCTGAAGAAATGAACAACTATAACCAATTACTTTATTTGCTACAGGCCTTACAAGGCCCCATGAACAAGGTGGCAAAGAAAAAGGGGAAAAAGAAAAGTAAAGCAGAGACAGAAGGTGAAAAGAAAGCCGAGACCACACATGGCCAGTGAGTTACAAAAAAAACAAAAACAAACTGATATTATTCCTGATCTCAAACACATGCGTGCAACAGTGAAAACTGACAGCATACTTAAACACTGAACCAATATTTCACACCTGTGGCTTTATATACATGTCTATGTGCAAAATGTTATAAATTTACTTTGTCATAATTATAGACTCATCTCACTGGAAAATGAAAACGACAGTGATGCAGCCAATGAAGGTAAAAAAACAGTTGTGTTCAATTTATGCAACTCAAGTGTTTTTAGTCTTATTTATTTGATTGGTTTGCGGAACAACTCACAACTACATCCATTACCAAATAACCTGATGATTCTTATCTTTATCAATTATTTAGTCTTGAAATATAGTAAAAAAATAAATCACAGCTAGTCAGACTGCATGGTGATGTCTTCAAATTGCTTGCTCCAAACATGTAAACAGTTGCTGCACAACTAAGTCAAAACACACGTGGTCAAATGACAAGGTCATTACTGCATTATTATAATGAGGTATTACTCCTCTAAATCCTCTGATCATTCTAGGAAATGAAGATCCTTTGAAATTAGAAGAAGAGGAGAAGGACAGCTTGGCTTTACTGAATGAGATCCTGGGCAGTGCGTCTGTGGATGAGGGCGACTTCTGCCGGGAGTGGATGGAAGTGTTTGGCCACACTCAGGAAGGAACGAGTACACCATCTGACAGAACAGCAGAGACGGCCCAGCAAAAAGAAAATGCCTTCTTTCTACCATCTCAGTTGCTTGACCAGAACTTGAATAACCTTCAGTCTTCCCTCTCAGGTCAGAGCTGTGTGTGTTTGTGTATTTATGCTTGTGTGACCCAAACAATGGCTAATATGTCCACAAAGATTTTGTTGTCAAACAAATACATTTTTTGTATTATACTGAGATTACTCAAGTGGGCTTCCCTGATAGACTAGTGGTTAGGGCACCGCGCTCATCGCTGCGGCCCTAGTTCAAGTCAGGTTTGCGTCAGGAAGGGCATCCAGCATAAAACACGTGCTAAATGTCAACATGCGAGTCGTCAGTGTGACAATTCACTGTGGCGACCCCTAACTGGAAAAAGCCAAAAGTGACATTCACTGAGATTGCTGAAGTGCTCCACTATTAGGAAGAACTCTCCAACAAAAACCATGCAAAAATTAGCCGCCATTATCCTAATTGGAACACTTGCACCTGAAGACTAAGTGATAAGTTACAATGCATTTCCTTTAATAAGTATATTAACAAATGCTTCTACATATTTCCACAGAGAGAGAAAATAGGTTCTAAAATTATTTACCCATGTCTGTCAAACCAATATCAGGCTATTATACCGCAGCAATGAGATTTGCTTACCCACTGGTAATTACCAAGTACTTTCCATTTCATCCAGGTTTGGGCACTGGCTCCTACAGTAGCACCACGTCTTGTTGATTTGGTTTTGTCTGGTTCCTGCTTGGAGGTTTGCTGGTAGTGTCATTATGAAGCTATAAGCAAATGAAAAGCTTAAAGTATGTACATAGTTCCTGGATGAAATTAAGAAGCTGGTATATCAGTCTTAATCAATATACTGTAATGGTTCTAACACTAAGAATAGAGATAAATAGCTAGTAAACCTTACACAGTAACCAAGTCCTGCAGAGCTTAAAGTTGCAGCAAAGTACCCGGGCAGTATTTATGTAATCCAGCAATTATCACGAAAAAAGGAAAAGTGCTAGACAAAGAAATCTGGAGCTTTTTCAACTCCACAACAGAGCCTATCTGAACAGTTGAAGAAACACGTGGTCTTGAGTCTCATCATTTTTTCCATTTAAAAAGAGGCTGAAACAAAACAACCAAATATGTCAAAACAATCACAGTATGTAGCCTCAAAATCTGTCAAAAGATTTCAAGCACTGAATGAGCACAAAGCTAATTCAAGTTCTAGTCAGTGTACAGGTCATGTTATGAAAAGGTGCCGACACAGACGTGTAAATTTCAAATAGTCCCACAGCATGCAAGGGCCGTGCACACAATGCATCAGGTGCATGCTCTACACTTAACACCTCTTCGTTTACAGCACAACTCAAAGTAATGAATGGATTTTGATGACTTTTTTGGAGAGGAACAACCGATTAGATTTTGGAGCTGATCTGGATCATTATCAGGATCCACGAAGTTTTTTTTTATAAAAAGGATTTGTCACCATTTTGAGATAGGGCCAATTTCACAGTGCCTACAATGCTTGGACAATAATTGCATGGTAACATCCACAAAAGATCTGCCACACACCAAATTATGATCTGGATCCAAGCAATGTTCTGCTGATCCAGAATGTTCCAATCAATGGCGGGGGGGATGCTCCTGAGACAACAAATAAATCTACCGACTTGCAACAAAAATCAAATTCCAGCTGAAAAACAGATGATTCAGTAGGTGTCAAGAGATCTGATACACCAAACTAGATCCTGAAGAAGAGAACGCCATCATTACTGAAATATCATTTTTCTTGAATAATTTTCCAAACTAAAAATGAAATCAATGTGATTCCAAATGGTAAGGGCGGGTTTTCATGGTCAATCCTATCATATTATGGGGGTCAAACCATCGCTGTCATATTGCTTTCAGGTGTAATAGCATTATGGTGACAATGACCCGCCTTGGTGAAACTTTGCGCTCTCTGAGTGCTGTCTAGTCAAATCTATGGTCTCAAAACGTCTTAACTTACTGGCTCAAACAGTAATTTTGCAGTTTAAAAAGTGCCATTTATTAAATGTGAAAAAGATAGAGTATTGCAGATTTTTAGGAGATGATCATTAAAGTAATCGAGTGAGTCATTTTTCAAGAGACCTTGGAGGAGGAAAAAGAGGCATAGGTGCAGCACTTCTCAGATTTTGGCAATATGGCAGAGTGGTAACTGAAGTCACTTCAAGAAGCAGCATAACAGAAGAAATTAAAACCCCTGACCTCCATTTCCGTAAAGATTGGCGCCTGAAACAAGCAGATCCTGGGAAGAACCAAAGAAGTTATGACCCCGACTATCAAGACAAAAATGGCAAGAGACCAAGGATGTGACAAACAAATCTTCAAAGTCCCCAAATTCTCATGAGCCAAGCACAAACTTAAATGACAAATCTTCTGAAAGAACCATGCCACAATGGAACTTTCATCTTTAAAAAAAAAAAAAAAAGTTTATATTTAAAATTTCTCCTTCCACACCAGAAATACGAACAAGTGCCGAAAGGGGGTTACAACAGAGGTGATACGCGAGTGAACGACGCTGGAGCTGAAACACCACTAATACACAAAACATCCAGAGGCTTCAAGCAGCTATTTGTCCTTTTAATCCTGCTGGATTCAGCTGCTTGTATTTGGAGTGTAAATTGTTTGTTACCAAATACAATATCAACAGCACACTCCTCTGTCCTCCCTAGTGATATTTAGTGTTGCTACAGGCTGCATTTTCCAGATACACAATCCAAACACCAAACAACCAACTTGTCTGAAACAAGATCTCAAAGTCATACTAGTTGCAACTTTTGGCCTGTCTTCAATAAACCACTAACAGTGTCTGATGTTATTTTACTCATAAATGTTTTGATTATTGTCGTTTGTGTTTCTCTCTGTGAGAGAGTGAGTGATGATTGATTAGTTGGATAATGCTCTGGCCTGTTGCATGTCCCCTGCTGATAAATCTAAATCTGTGACTCCATTTCAGATTGGGCCGGGATCATTCCACAGCCGGAGTGCTCATCTGGAGCCACTCAGAACCCTTCTAATCCAGCAGTCAAAGGTAGGACCGGGCCAAATGACTAAAACGTACAAGAAGGCATGAAAGAAAAATAGTAACTCATTCAAAGTCCGAGTCAAACCTGTGCTTATGGGGCTTTTCTAGGAACTTCAGGGTTGTTTCCATTCATAGGTTTGGATTTCAGTCAGATGCAGTCCATTACCTGGCTATGGCTAAAGGTACAGCAGTGTACAGAGTGACATTTACCCCTGTTAACTCATTTTACAGAGACAGCAGGGATGTCCAAAGACCTCTCGGCATGGTTCAACCTGTTTGCTGACTTGGACCCTCTCTCCAATCCCGATGCTGTCGGGAAAAACGACACAGAGCACGAACTTCACACTGCATAGCTGTCCTCAGCATCACGGGTACCTTTGTTAGTGGGTACAGCAACATAATGCTGCTACTGTGACCAGAAGATTTGTTGACTAAATGTGTCAGAAAACGTATCTGCAATCATTTATAAATAATCCAACAATTATCACAGTCACTTGTAAGAAAAAAATCCCAAAATAATCTCTGGTTCCAACTTCTCAGATGTGACTGATGCTTTTCTTTGTCATATGATAAACTGAATACATTCAGATTTTGGACTGTTGGTCAGAGACAAGCAAATTTAAAGCATGATCATGTACAATGGGAAATCCTATCTCCCATATAAAATAATTAAGGGAAAAAATAAACAGATTAATCGATAATGAAAAGAACGCCTAGTTGCTGACCTAACTGATCTTTTTCTTCCAATAAAAATACAGGATGATTACTGTCACAACACACTCCAAAAAATGTATCTTATTAAAATGCAAATGGCTTGTTACATGGAGAGGTTTTCTCATTAGAACAAAAACTGATCATGTTTTATTCATGGTGGCAGCAATATACTGCTCCTACATGTCCCACTAACAACCATCAGCTCTTGTGTCCTTTTCCATGGCGAAAGAAAAATATTTGCAAGACCTTACTGAGCCTGTTGGCTGTTTCACTGGGTTAAACATTTAATGGATACCTCAGTAGTTTGGAACAATAAGCCTTTGACATTAGCTGCCTTGGAAATCTGTAGCATTCATGCTTTATTTCTGATTTTCATTACAGAAGATTGCAAACAGTCAAAAGTACTTAGTACGAAGCACCAGTGAGGGGAAAAAGCAAACATGGCAAAGATCATGGAGCAAAGGTTTATGTGTTAACAGTATAGTCCAACATGCTTGGTGAAGGAAAGTTAATGCAGTCATGTAAATATTCAATATACAAAAGGATTTTTTTTCCCAGCAATCTATCCACTGGAATTACTCTGCAACTACTTCACAGAGATCTGAGCAAGTGAACCGGATTCATCAAGATCTTGTTTCCCTCCGACCCTTTTAAGATTTCTGATTTTAAGTTTGCCTACCTGTGATCCCCTTTTGAATACACTCCAAAAGTGTGACCACATGTATCACTGCATGTTGCATGCCATGTTTTACATTATCCAGAAACTGTGATTGTTGAATGTTTATATTAAGACATTTCTGATAAATGTAGTTTTGCACATTATTTCTTGAGTTATTGGCTTTTATGGGCAATATGTTCAGTTTGTGGTGTTTTGGTCTCTGAGCCAAACTGAATGTTTTGATGAAAACTATATTTCAGAGTAAAAGCCTTAATAATCATCATCACTGAACTCCTTATCCTGTATAGTACTAATGTGTGTAAATTATTTTTGTTGTAACTTAACCTTGTGTCATTTAGATGTTCAAGCCATGTGACATTTGTTATTAAGTCATAACCAAATACGCTGATTGCCTTACCTTGACTATTTGTATAGGCTGTAAATGCCATGCTTCTGTATAGTGATATTTAGTGGATGTGTCCGCCTGCAGCCTTTGAAAAGGATTACATACCAAATCAAATGGAGTTTTTTGTTTTCTTTATTGAAAAACACACAAGATCTACATAAAAATATGTAATATACAGGAAAACAGAATCATCATTGCCAAACATGGCAACCATTCCTAAACTGCACTGCAATATGACTTTGTGGATAAAATCAAAATTAGTATGACTGAGCTTCTTGGAGCTGCAAGTAGAACAACGTATTTCAACTAAACTTGTGAGGAATGTGCTGTATATGTGGTTCATGTTTGTGTTTCTGTGCGCAATGGGGTTTTATAGACAGAGGTTTTGGAATGAAATACTGTGGGGTTAAATCCTCCCCTTTAAGTTGACCTGCTCTCCACCAGTCACATGAAGTGATCCAACGTATGCAGGTAATGTTAGGGCTCATCTGTGTGGATCAGTATTCTGAGCCAAACTGTGGCAGAAAAAATGTGTAAATTTACTTCTAACATAAAAAAATCAACTGCACACTCAAGTTCTGATTGCTTTAACTTACCACCTGACTAAAATAAAACGGATTATTGCCTCATGAGCAAGTGCTTAGGTTTGGTTTAATGATTAGCACGTGTTTAAAAACGTGAGCCAGGGTTTATACTGCATGTTGCTGAACTGCTTATAAACAAAACGATACAATACAAAACACAAACATGCTGCTTCTGGCACAGAAACAGTGCCTTGTGTGTCCCAAATACATGACAGGTCTTTAACGGATTTCAAATTTGCTTTGGTACATATTTAACAAAGGGAGCAAGTTCTTAATTTCGAAGGGTGTAGCTTATGTAGCTAGCTCCATTTACAAGAGAACTCACTGTTGACCAATGCAACTGATCTCTGGAATGTGTCATAGCACCTGAAACTCTAACCCAAACAGGTTAATGTAAAAGTTATGTCACAAGTCGTGACATCAATCAGCTGATTCTGTAATAACCTCCCTCTCCAGGGAAAAGTCAAGCATTTCTGCAAAAGACTGGAATGTCTTTCTATGGAAGAAAGTCAAACACTGGGGAAAGGCAACATAGTCCAAGCAAGTACATTCCACATGACCTGAGTTACTGTTAATGTGGGGCAATAAAACAAGCCAACAACTTGGCCGATTTTTCTTTGATTGTAATTTTGTATTTTTGGTGAATAAACAGCTGTTATTTGCATTTCATATTGAGCTTACCAAGTTTCAACAGTGATCACACTACAGCTGCATATCTAGGTTTGGGCTCATAAGCCTATGCGGTGGAGCCTGCACTGAAGCAACTGCTGGTGTCATAGACACTGTGCTACAAGTACTGTAAAAATACATTAAAAAAAGGCCTTGGCCTTTATCATAATGAGCCAGGCCTTAACAAATGCAAACATTGTGGTTAATGTGGGGACAAAGTATTCTGACGTCCTGATATGCTAAAAATGAGACAAGCATTTCCCATCCTGTCAAGAAGCTTATGTATATACACTGCATGTATTTCAGATGTTAGCTCGCTGAACACTTAACACCTAATAAGCTGGTTAGATAACATGATTAGAATGCATTTCTGATATCTCATATTTGTCTCATGAATGTTTTCAATTTTCCTTTTCAGCTTCATCTTGATAAAACTGCCTATGCTATGTAAGAATAATTTGAGCAGTCATCTCTATTTTTTGCAAAAGAAAGCAAAGCTACTTTTGTTAAGGGTGTTGTCATGGTATGAAAGAGAAGGCTAGGTTAGTGATGGGTGACGGGAGGCTGTGCCCAAGGTCAACACACTAAATCTGATTACCAATGACCAGACCATCAGGTGTCCACCCTGGGACAGAGCACAAATGCTTGTGCAGCAGGACACTGGTACCATTATCCTTCTGTGTATTTTTAGACCTCGGGCACTCCCTGCTGGCTAATGTTAGGATTGACAGAGTGCAAGGACTTTTTTTGTTTGTTTCTTTTCTGTTTTAATACCATCCCACCTTACTAGCTGAAATGTTTTAGCTGTAGGGGGCTTGGACATGAATACCTGAGGACTAACTGGTGAGGAGCACTTGTGCTGAGGAGTCTTTCCCCACATCTGTGTCAGCGCTGTGGCCATCTGTGCTGCCATCTGTGTTTACACCTGTGCTTGTGTCAGTGGAGGCTGGAAAGGT